GTTTTTAGATCTATTTGATTTGAATTATTTCTAGAATTTTAAATTTTATAATTAATGATGAAAATAGATTATCAGACGTCCAAAAAAATTCTTGACACCAAAATTATATATTCTGATGAAATTTGGAGGTGTCTTATTTTGATTGTTTAAAGTTGTAACCTTATACAAATTACACCATTTAATTGTCTATTTACTCTCTCGGGTAAAATCTCATATTGAGTCACTTTATGCCTAAATGTTGGAGATGTAACTTCTTCAACTCATATACGAACCTCATTAAAACAATTTTCTTAGGGAAATGATTTCATTCAACGGTTGTATAATAGTATCTCTATGTATTAGAAAATGCCTATGATTAAATAGAGGCGCATCCAATTTTTGGAGAGCGAGATTTAAGTGTCGAAACACTCAAAATTCAAAATTTGTCTTTTTAAAATGATGTTTAGATGGTTCCCAAAATTTTAGAATAATCTCCACATATTTTTGGTGAGGGAGTAGATGCACAATATAGTCCTACAGGAGGATAGCAAACTTGCTCGAGACAACATATGGAAGATGTGTTCCCGTAAGAGCATAATGATCCTTTGGGAGGTTTACATTAACCATTAGAGGAGACGAGAATGAGCATAGGGCACGACTGTGATCAAGAGTTTGACAAGTGTATCCAACTATTTCTTTTTCTTTTTCTCCTCTTTTTTCTTTAGTTTTACTCTTTTCCATAGATTTCACTCAAGTAAGAAAAACCCATGGGCATTTTCAGGACCCCAAAATTACGTATGTAACACTTTAAGCTTGAAAAAGTTGCCAGGGTATTGCAACGTGGCTTCTTGAGTTCCATCTTATAATGAGTAAACTATTGTTTTGCACAAAACCGCCCAAAAGGCAAAAAATAAGATAAAAAATAAAAAAAGTTACAAACCTTCAACAAGAGCCAAATAAAAGAATGTCAATTTTTTTATTTATAAGCACGATGACTTCACAATCATATTTTTTTCCTCCCTATCGAAATTCATCTAAGTTCTCCAAAGAAATTTATCACGACAAAGATTGTGATTCCATCTTACCTGTACCAATAACAAGAATTGCAAAATCCAGAGTACCAAAGTTAACGTCTTACCTGTACCAATAACAAGAATTGTAAAATCCAAAGCACCAAAGTTAAAGTCCTGACCCACAAAAAATAAACATCCAGACAATAGCTTGCTTGTACAAATGAGAAGTACTGCAAAATCCATGGTACTATTTTCTAGAGACTGTTCACAAAAATTCTGGAGTTTGGTAAAAAAAAAAGGTTAGATAGCAAAACAATCAAATTCAATTCCAATTTATAGAGAAAGTGCAATGCATAAAACAGCCGCACGTGCAAATGAATACTCAATAGTCACACAGTTCGAAGGTCCCTCGCCAGGTTCCGAAGGCCCCTAACCAGGTTCCCAATAACCAACCCCAGTAAAACAATAACTTTCTTTACATATAAACATAACTTCTCTTTCTCCATTCTTTTACGCGGTGATTTAAAAAATGCTGGGTCGGCACAAAATTGCTATGTCGAACTTGAGAATCCGTTACCCCGTTCTGGTTCTACTTATATATTGGAAAACGGCCTAGTCTAGAAATTAATTGGCGGTTCTGCACAATAAAACGGCAATCCGGACTGTAGATTCATTGATCCAAACCGGTTTTTGGCTGGTTCTCTGTTTTTTCATGTGTTTTTTTGCCAGTTCACAATTTTTTTTTTGCACAGTAAAATAGTGATTCAAATCATCGATTTACTGATCCGTACCAAATTTTGGGGTGCCCAATTCAGGTCACTGATTCGTTTTATAAATAACTACTTTAACGTCATAAAAAAGAGAACCCCTTACTTTATCCTTTACAAACAAAGCACGCTCCAAAATTATAGGGTTCGAAAGGCTTTTTTAAAAATAGCGCCTAAATAATATTTTCAAGCATATTATTTTGAAATAGCACCCCATGTAATTTTTTACATTAAAAATGCATTATCGTTCACTTTCAAAGTGAGAGGTCTGAATTTTGAAACTGAAACAAAATTTTCCTTTGCTTCTTAAGTTTCAATAAAAGTTTCCATTTTTTGCACAAGGGATGAACAGTATATGCTCTGGTAGTATATGCTCCACAAGAGCATATACTGTTCATAAATAAAGAAGATAAAAAGACTAAAAACCGAACCCCAGCAATAGGCACATGTAACATCGATGTGAGATGAAGATCTAAAAAATAGATTCATAAATAAAGACGAGATAGACAGAGATGCATATGCCAAGAGGGAATAGAGAACACCGAATCAAATGAGATTTAGTATTCAATGGACGCATCGAGAATATCGAATCCAGAAAGAAGGCAGTAGAAATCGAATACCATGGGGAATAGAAAAGAACAAAAAAGTATATATATATTTATATATATATATATCAAAATAACAAGGGTGCATCTAAGATGTCATCCTTAAACAATCAAAATAAGAGGTATATCTAAATTATCATCATCATTATAGTATTTTTTTCAATTAATTGGGATCAATTTCTTGAATTTTGGTGATCCACTCTCCTTTATTAAAAGTCTTACCTTCAATGCGACCATAAGTCTCTATATCATTTCCAACTACTTCCAACTACGTCATGCCTCTTGTCCTTTTCAATCTTTCAACTTGAATTAATTTCCGGGTTAACGCGTTATTTTTGAGAAACGCCCTAACATTAACAGGTACTATAGGTTCAAGATTCATAATAAATTTTAACAATATTTTATGTTGGTTGTCTACCTAATACTATTCAACCTCTTTGCCCAGTGCATGGGATGAGTTAAAAGAAAATTTAAAATCATCACTCTTCTTAAACGATGGTTCAAAAATATGTATTTACACTTAATGATAAATCTAGAACTCTGAAAATGGTACTAATCAATCAGATCTATAAAATCTTGAAATAATGCATCTTGGTAACACATATTATGTACTATTAGTTATACTTTTTTTTTTAGAATGGACTACTTATTTGCATCCATCTTAAAGAAATATGCAAATAAATAATCAATTTTAAAAAGAAATATAACTAATAATCCAAATGTTTTTTTATTATGATTATTATTTTTAATTATAAAAAAATATTCATATTCATGATCTCCATGTTACATATTACATATGCTTTAAAAATTAGAATCCAATTATATTTAAAATATATATTTATTATCAAACCTGCATTTCTATAATAAAAGGGCTGGCCACGTAAAAACCGTATCCAAAGAAGTACACCCCAGGAACTAAACTTAAAACCCCAAGAATTAAACTTAGAAAATATCATTTCATCTTTATAATCCCAGAAAAAATCTATTCATATATTTGATACATAATTTAAAGATTAAAAAACAATAAATATGAACAAAATAATAATTATTCAAAAAACCTTGAAAATAGACGACCTACAAAATATACAAGCTGTACCATTTTAAAGACAAAAAATCGATTTATCCAGTCGGGGTGAACAATCCAACTTTAGTGGATTTTAGCTATAAAAATTGACATTGTTTTTTTCCCACAGAACATTGGATCCGTAGGTACCACTGTGCGACCGTATCATACGTGGCCGCAATACTGTGACTCTGCAACCCCACAGGCTTTTAACTTCAATGCCTCGTTTTGCAAAGCCGAACAGCTGGCGCTCATCCAGACCATCGCAGGAGCCACTATTTTGAGATTCAGAATTACATAGAAGATGGGAAAACTTTTATTTAGAGCAATTTACGCTTCTTTTTTTTAGTTTTTTTCAAAACTGCCCTTTGGTCAACCTGAATTTTTACTTTTTTTCTTTTGATTAATAGGGCAATGCTCCAAGCTCACTACCCTACTAATAAAAACTTAAAAAGAAATTTTCAAAATTCTCGTTGAGAAAGACAATTTGTTTTTAAAAAAAAAACAGATTTGACTCGGATACAATTTTGAAAAAATAAAAATAAAATGACCACATTGTTCGATGTCTTTATAATTTTGCATCATTTCGTATTTTGCTTAACATTTTTAGAGTCTCTATCTAAATCACTCATCACCTCATATAGTAAATAGGGCATTGTTATATAGTAAAACCTCACCTCAACTCATCTAGAATTGCAATTTTTTAAGTACTGAAAAATATCTAAATCAATCATCTTGGCTCGAACATTATGATTGTAGAAAATTTTAAGATTTTTTAATTCCTAAAATAATATAATATCACGCCTCCATACTTTTTCTTTTTTTTCAAATCATATCTAAATCTTTACGTCCACTACTCTCCTAGACTGTAAAATTATCAAAAAAACCTTTTCCATAAGAAAGGATGAACAAAAAACCTCTAAATTTTAGTTATTCTAGTTTTATCAAAAATATTATTTTAATATTCCTTTCCCATTATCAAATTTCATATTTATATTTAAACAAATGACCTTTGAGACCCTCCCTTGTTACAGATCTCTAAAAAAAAAAATTACCCCATATGACAAACTCTTCTAGAAACCTGTACCAATTGAACGGTGATAGGGTCTATCATTACACTAATATTTATACAAAAATTAAAAATATAACTTCAGATCTAAATCAAACGGTAAGTGTCTCGCATGATCTAAATTGTACAGCCAGAGCAGGTGGGAGGTCAGAAGAGAGAGAAAAATCCGAATTGACCAAAAAAATCAAATGCAAAAGGAATGGAATGGGGTAAAAAATAATAAAAATAATGACCACCATGTTCTACCGTAATGGAATTTATAATCTATTAATACCATTTACCCATTGTAATTTCTAATCTTTGATCCCTCGAGTCTGTAATTTACGGGGGTTTCATGATTTGCTCCCCGAACTTTAAAAACCTGTGTCCCATACAATAGAATGAAGAAATATTTGCAGGTTTGAGGCCCCCACTTGTTCTGAAAACCCTATCCTGTTCCTTAATGCCCAGCATCCATATGACTAAATAATTAAAATACGATTAAATTCAATATCCACACATTGCTTTCAAAGAACTGAATATGCATATTTAATTACAACGCTTCATTCTTGACCAAAATAATACAGAGACATAAAAGAGTTCCCATCCTTTACATGTAGGAAATACCAAAAATTAAGAGAGAAGATTTAGGAGGGGGAAAACAAGATAGCAAAGAGAGAATATTTCACTACCACTTGGGGTAGCCTTAACCAATACTGCATCATCTTCCTGTACAAAATCCTTCATCTTTTACCACAGATAAAGAAATTAATTCCTTCTCAAAAACCCAAATCATCTAAAGAAACACCTGATTGATCTTTATTTACATAAAGAGACATACTCTGAATCTTCGTTGCTCCTACTCATGGTTGTCTTCTGCGTATTTACAATCAAAAAGTGGCCGGAATCGCTGCCGGAAAATCGAGAATCACTGGAAACCTTACCAGGAAAAAGAGAATCAGCTAATAACCACCGCAAAAAAACTAAAATCAGTCAAACTGCCATCAAAGGACTTCCAAAGCGGATATGAAGAATCAAAAACACCAGAACCAGCTACTAAGATGCTGGCTCACTTCACGAGCTCGGAAACCCAGCCGAGATCAGGAGCTTGAGCTTCAGTCCTCTCAGCCATCGAGTTTTGCCTCGAAAGCTTTGCGAACAGCTGAGCCCGAAGATCCCTACCGGATTCGACCCTCTCGACTGGCTCTTCTTCGTCTGCAACTCCATTTCCAAAGCTATCGGTCCAGCCCACCTTTGTAGGAGTTGAAGGGAGGCTGCTAAAGGCTGGCCTGAAACTAGAGCTGAATCCCCCAGAAAACCTCCCCTGATTACCGGAAACCGCCATGAAAGCACCCGAGTTCGGAGAACCACCGAGTTGCAGATTTTTCAGGGAAGAAACCACATCGGAAACCGGGATCCTACGCCGGAAAATCTGATTTTCCGGGGAGAAATTAGCCGGAGAAAGGGGAGGCGAAACGGATGGTGACAGAGGCGGCGATAGGGCAGGAGGGGAGTGGACATGCGAAGCGAGAGTTGAAGTGGGAGAAAGAGAGTTCGAGAGAGGAGACGAAAGGGAGTTTGAGAGAGACGAAGCCTTGGCAAACAAACGCATAGGTGACCCATCATAGGACTCACCGGAAAACCTCGACACGCCGGGAAACCCACCAGATACAGCACCGGAATACCTAGGGCTTGGATTCTGAGGTAAAACCCTAAGCTGCTCCGGCGTGTGAGCAAAGAAGCAAACCCTCCGCCTGCAACTCGTTCCATCCTTGCATGGCTGGGTCCTGTAGCGAGCAGGGTGTAGCCAACACTCGAAAACACCATGAGCAAACTCGCAAGAATCACCCCTCTTGCAATTCCCCTTTCGAAAATCAGGACATGCAGTCCCTGAATAGTGAAACTTTCGAGGATCCCTTCTCCTCGCTTTCTCACCAGGATGAGCATAGGGACACTCAGTCCAGTCATGGCTTCTCCCTCGAACACATCGTCTCACCTTGAAATCATACATTCGGAACTCATCGCAGGAATACGCATCGATTGCAGCATTTGGTTCCTGGTCCTCATAGTTCGAGGGAAGATAGCGTTGCAGGGCAGCCATAGCGTCACTAAAGCTCGAAGAGAAATCATTTTCCGGCCGGTTTCCGCCAAAACCATAGCCTTCTTGACCGGACTGATCTTTCTCCGGCCTACTTCCAGCATAGCCTGGATCAAAATCAACAAAGGGGCTCGAGAAACCAGGCTTATACACAGGGGAGAGAGAGTCCTGAGGTATTAGGTTTTGGTGGTTTGACGAAATACCGCTCAGCGGGAGAGAGTAAATTCTTGTTGGGCAATTGGGCTCCCTCTCACTAAACAGTGACCATGGAGGAGTCGCCTCCATTAAACTGGTTCCATTCTCTTCACCCATAGTCTCCAAACATGCAATATATCTTCTCTGCAAATTTATCAGTAACCCAAAACAAAACAAGCAAGAAGCTTTTCAACTAAATCAAAACTTTCAGAAATTTCAGAAAACACCTCAAACAACTACCAGAAATTAAGACCCAGAAGCGTTTCGAGTAGTGGAGGTTGCGGAACCCACTTTAATGGTGTACAAGTGATCCCATATGGGAGGCACATAGCCCAGAAATAACAGTTAAAAAGTAAGAAATACAGGGAACAGAAGCCCACAGAATTTCAGAGCTCACAACACCCACTTCCATGGCTTGACAGTGAACACCCACTTTTATAATGAACAAAAAAATGGGGAGGACAGAAAGAAACTTGTTAAGGAGCTTGAAAATTTACAGTCATGGCGGTAACAAATTCGAAATTCCAGAGACGTCCTATCAAAGGTGTATGGGGCACATCAAAGAAAGATCGAGCGAGGGCCCTGAATATATCACCCCTCGAACCAGGTCCTAACCATGGTGAACTCGAAGCTAACCATGGTTAAATACTGACCGCTCCACTACGTTAAAAATATTAAATAATTAAAAAAACCGGACGACGTTTGGTCTTGAGGCGGTGGAGAGATATTTACGCCCGCGAATTAAAAAGCATTAAAAAATGCTGGAAAAATATTGCCCGAAATCCTTTAAAAAAGGAGCGGTAATTATGAAAGCCGATCAAAAGGAGAAAGCGACGCCAATTCCCGTTTCTTTATTTCCATAAAAATAAATAAGATAGAGATATGAGGTTTGTACCGAGCCCAAGCCCTAAACAATCAAATTAGAACCCACCTTTCTAGAGCGTCGCGGTTTAAGTGCTGAAATTGTGTCTAATTTAAAAATATCTATAAAAATTTGAAAATATTGAAAAATTGACGGTCAATGAATATATTATAGAATGAGTTATTTTCGAAATTTGAAGTCTGCTTTTTTCTCGTGCACATGCATCTTGCGTAGAGATGATCAATTTGATGATATTTAACCATCAAAACAATCTTTTGTAGTAAAATTTTTTGGCTAGGTTCTACTTTGATTGTTTAAAGCCTAAGTTCTATATAAACTTTTCCGGATAGGATAAGGTCAAAAACTGGAATGGAAATACAAATATAGAAAGGGTAAAAGTGGTGAATCGGAAAATAAAGGTGCAGATTTCGAGACAGTTGGGGTTACGTGGCGGCTCGGCCTCGCGGCTTGAGCATGCTGGGTGCTGAGTCCGCTAATATTTAGCGGTGGCGCTCTTTTAAATTAGTAACACCTCAGCTAAATTTAAACGGCCGCGGGGTCCACTGAATTGACCGGGGCGCTCCGCGCCGCTAATTTTAGCGGCGAATTTAGCCGAGCCGACAAAAGCGGAGCCAGCCGATATGAAGACACGTGGGACAAGTTGAGTGGCGGCCGTACAAGAAAATCCCTTTCATCAATGCGTGCATGTACTAAACCAGACCACGTGGCGGATGATCACATGGTACGAGTGAGGGCTCTCCATTCGGGGGATACACGTGGCCTGTCTCTGATGACACGAGCGGTGGATGTGTATCTCCGAAGTACACGTGTACGGTCGAGGGTCTCGAGATGCACTTGAAAGTGACGCTGCGTTTTTATGAGTTTTTATTTTGATTATTCTTTTTCTTTTATTGGTGTAAAAGTTGAAGTGGAAAATTACTTGAGTATCCCTGGGTCGTAGAAATTTTGATTTACTGATTTACCCTTGCTTCTCCAGGTTAATCCTCAGGTTGGTTGCAGCGTCTAACATTTAACCATGGTTAGTTTGTCCGAAAGGTCGAGTCGTTTTTAACGGTAGTTAATGTAGAGGAAGTGTTTAAATGCGAACTTGTGATTGCATGTCACTCCATATTTCTTTTGTTAATGAGCTCAAAATATATAAATTAATATTATAATAAAAGAAGTGAGAGGACTTTTATTGTAATCCATGTGGTAGGATCAAAAGGTCATCATCAAATTTTATATGTACAAAAAAAAAATAAGGTCATCATTAATTAAATTTGACATATATAAAAAAAAAAAATTAAGTCTCATGCTTTTTTTTTTAATATCAATTTTAATGATGATATTTTAAAAGACCTAAATTCGCGAGTGGGAGAGGATCCTATAAGATTATTATTCTTATAATAATTGATATTAGAATAAGTTGGGATAAGTATATTTACAAAAAATTATTATTATTTATTAGAGTAATGATCTTATGAAACCCTCCCATACCTGTGTAAGATCACCATTAAATTTGATACAAATATGTAAAAAACTTATTACATAGATGTGGAACTTGATTTTTTAGAGATCTGTGTTAAATTCAGTGGATAGCCTTTGAAGTTCTACATATATGATTGTAGGAATGCTTCATAGGATCACTACTCTTTTTATTATATAAATTTTTAATTAATTAAAATTTATTTTTGACATAATAATACAATATAATTTAATTATTAACTAATAATAATTTTGAAAATTTTATAAAACTACATTGGTATTCTAAAAATTAATTTCTTTTAACTTTATTTGGAGGGTGTTATTTCTTTTTTAATAAAAATTTAAACTTTACTTTTTATGAAGACACCAAAAAGTACTTTTTATCTTTTAAAAACTTTTTTACACAAACTGCTTTTTTTATGAGTAAGATTATCATAAAGTAACTTATTTTTAAAATAAAAACTAAATAGTTAATAAATATGTTTTTCACACTTCATTCTAAAATTAACTTTTACAATTTGAATGGTTATAAATTATATATGGGTGTAGTTTATACAAAAGCTTGGGCTCTAAACAATCAAACCAGAGCCTACTTTCAAATAGTATCGAAAAATGTGGTTTTAATATTGAAAATATTTGTGATAGCCTAAAAATATATTTTTATATTTATTTATAAAGTTTAAAGCTTCAAAAATAGTGTAGATTGACATATCTATGAAAACTTGAAAATCTTGAAAATTAACGGTGCAAAAATGCGTTACAAAATATACTATTTTCAAAACATGAAATCCAATTTTTTCTCATGTCCATGCATCTTGATGTCGAGATGATCAATTTGAAGATACTTGAGCATCAAAACAACATAGTGAAATTTATGAAGTAGACTAAAATTTGAATTTACAGCATCGACTATGTATAAACTTTTCCCATTATATATTATCCCTTGATTTATGTCCGTCTTTTGAGAAACAAATCATCATGTATCATTGTTTCTATCTAGCACAATAAGATTTTTCTTTGGTGTTCTTTCCTAGTATAGAGTGATAATTATTTTTATCTAAATATTATTCATCTAAAATGAGCATACTTTGGATGAAATTATGTTATATAGGTAGGTGATATTATCTTCTATAATATGAGACTGTTTATCTATATTTCAAGAATGCCTCAAATGCTACTAGTTAGTAGTGTTAAATTGAATGGCTTGAGATGTATCATAAAGTTTTATGATATGTTTTTTTAACTATAAGTCTAGTAAATGACATACTCATAGCTACCCGATTTGAAATTCGATGAATGAGTAATATTGACCTCTTTATATTAAAAGCAAATCATCTATTTTTACATATTGTTTATGTAATATTAGCTAAATATTTAATTTTTTGTAAAAAAACATATGATTTTCAGCAATTTACATGAACCATAATGGAAACAACTTTACAAAAAGGGAAAAGTTTATATAGGGCCAAGGCTCTAAATAGTCAAATTTGAACCTACCTCAAAAATTTCACCAGAAGATGTTGTTTTGATGCCCAAATATCTTCAAATTGATCATCTCGACATCAAAATGCATTGACATAAGAAGAAAATGAATTGCTAGTTTTGGAAATAGTATATTTTGTAACGCAGTTTTTTATCGTTAATTTTCAAGTTTTCATAGATATATTGATTTACACTAATTTTGAAGCTTTAAATTTTATAAATAAATATAAAAATATAATTTAAAACAATCACGAACATTTTCAATATTGAAACCATACTTCCGGATACTATTTGAAGGTAGGCTCTAATTTGATCGTTTAGAGCCTAGGATGTGTACAAACGGCACCCTTTCGAAAAAGATGAACCAACATGTAAAACTACCAATAAGTTTATTTTAGGTAGCTTTTTAATGGACACTACCAAATAACAGATAAATAGCTATCATGATTGTCTTTATTGTAAGAGTGATAATGAGTACATCCAAACATGCCTTTGAAGTTTTTAATAGTGGAACATAGGAAGCTAAAATGAATCGTCAACCCTGGACGACTTGGACCAATTCTCTAATATGAGAATGTTAACAACATAACAGGTTTAATCATTAAGCAAATAATAATTGCAAAAAAGAATAAAAATAAAGTAGATGTAAATTTTTGTGATTTGGTTGATTTAGATTGGTAGGTGAGACTATCAAAATCGGAATTTTCTTAATCCTATTTAGGAACCAGATTAGTTCAATCCGAAAACGATGATTTGCGATACAAATCGTTGTTTCTTAGATCACAACAAATACTACAGATGGGGCGCGAGCCAATATATATATGGTAGCTCTTTTCAAAAGTATTTTTATTTTGGAAAAAGTTTATATAGAGTCGAAGCTTTAAACAATCAAATTAAAGCGTACCTCAAAAAATTCATTAGAAGAGGTTGCTTTGATGTTCAAACATCCTCAAATTGATCATCTCGACATCGATATACATGGATATGAGAAAAAAAAAAAAAGATTTCAAGTTTTCAAAACAGTACATATTGTAATTCATTTTTAACTCTTAATTTTCAAGATTTTCATGTATCTGCTTGATCTACATTAACGACATCTCTAAGTAAATTTTATAGGTGCAGTTGACGTCTACAGTATAAGGAGGCACCCTTATACAAACCTCACCTATTGATGTTTTGATTATTTGTGCCATAATAAAAAATTTATCATGTAACAATAAGACCTGAATGTACCACAAAAACAATAACTATCAAAATACGTTATATTTTTTAATAATATTTGTTAAAAAAACGATTATGTGTATAGAATTGAAAACCACAACCCGAGACTCCATAAGAAGTGCTACACACCATAGCCTTGGCCTTTTTTCCACGCAGTCAAATTCAAAGATCGAGGGCCGTACGTTCTCAAAGCGTTTGGTCAAGAAATAATATTTGTTTTACACTATTTCCGTTTAACCAAGCGGGTTTTCATCCGCAAAAAAGGTCGAGGGCACATAGTCTTTGACTTAAAAGATAAGGACAATAGGTGTCAAGTCAGACCTTTCTTATCGGTATTTTCACTTTACAGGTAGGATTTTAGGAAGAGGAGTAAAGTGCTCCTGCAGGAGTATTTATGCATAATACTCCCATGCTCAAAAGACCTATTTACGAAAAAACAAACTGGTCTAAAATTGTGGGAACTATATAAGAATCATCAAATGATTATTTTCAAAAGAAAAATATTGAATTTCTAGTTTGTAAC